TATATATATATATATATATATATATATATATATATATATATATATATTTTGTTTTCAAATGCATATTTTCTGACTTCAACTACTCTGAGAATAAGAAAATGAATTCTGAGTTAGGTTTGATCTGCTGTAAGACTGAGGTTTAAATCTGTCCGGTAAGCATTACGAGGAGGATTAAACCTCTTCTGGCTCTGGTCTTGCTCGCTGACAGCTGGTCTGGCCACACTCCTCCTCTGTTCTGACCTCCTCCTTCAGGCATGAGATGAATAAAAAGGCAGTGGCGGTCACGATGTGTCATTCCCCATGGCAGCCGCAGGGGGCGCTGTGACTCTGCTCACACTGTTTGGTAGGAAGGGCTGGCTCTGCGCCTTGTTTCTGCAGGCAGGAAGTGGGATAGCATTAACACTTGGACCAGTGACAGCACTTATGTCAGACAGATTAGTGGTAATATTGGGTATTATGGCTACCGGGGGGGCGTATTAACAGGGATGCATTTAAATTGATATTTAACCGCTTTCTTAATTCCTAAATGAATAAGGCAAGTTAGGAAGCACATGAAGGTCAACGTTACAACCACACCTTCAGGAGAAACACCCTCCAGCATGTTCTGCTGTCACTGTGCCACTGGGTGTCAGTGTGGCAACGTGCTGACAGTGGCATCAAGCACCCTGAAAACATCCAGATCTCCCTCTCGCTCATCCCTCTTCCTCTGTCAGTCACTCTCCTATCTTGTAGTCACGCTCACCTGGGTCTGTCTACGAGCGGGCCGCGCAGGTTGGTTGTCAGGGTGGTTGGGCGTCCACGGCCCTGAGCTCTGATTGGAATAGAAGTCCATGGGGTACACTTCCTTCCAGCTCACCTCCTGCAGAGCTACAGTCGCCTGAAAACAAACAATTTAAAAGCTGAATTTACAGAACAAGATGAGCTCGAACAGATCAACGTGCACTTTCTGAGATAGCGCATTGCACTGTTCTTACTGTGTTCTAATGCATCAGGAGAGTTGCATAAATAATTTTGCAGACAAGCGCAAAGTGATAAGAAGACACAACAGACTGAGTACACACACCAGACAGGTGTCATAATATTAAGCTTGGATAACACGCAGCGTTGTCATGTTATCTCTATGCAGATGTGCTGCGTGACATAACAGCTGTTAGAAGAAAACTGCACGCCCAAGACACACTGTAAATGCAAACAGCTCCATATGGAGAAGTGACAGTGAATATTGATTGTAAATTACAGGAAGAGCAGCAGAATGAGTGAACAGATGAATAAACAATGAATAAAACACATCCGTTGTTCATTTATTCAATCGTGCACTATGTTTTAAAACTCTTTAGACAGAGAAGATCCAACTTTAGCTTAATTTAATTGAATTTAGCTTAATTTTCTCTCCACTGGCTCCCTGTCAAATCCAGAATTAAATTCAAAAATCTTACTTCTAACCTACAAAGCCCTCAACAACCTAGCTCTAGCTTATATTACAGATCTTCCATCCATCCATCCATTATCTTTTACCCGCTTCTTCCATTTTGGGTCACGGGGGTCGCCGGTGCCCATGTCCAGCAATCACTGTGCGAGGGGCGGGGTACACCCTGGACAGGTCGCAAGTCCATCACAGGGACACATAGAGACAAACGAGACAAATTCATTCTCTCACTCACACCTAGGGACAATTTAGAGTTACCAGTCACCCTAACATGCATGTTTTTGGTCTGTGGAAGGAAACTGGAAAACCCGAAAAAAACCCGAAGAAGACTCAGGCATGCACGGAGGGAACATGCAAACTCCACCCAGAAGGGCCTCTGGACCGGGATTTGAACCGGGGACCTGCTCGCTGAGAGGCAGCAGCTCTACCAGTTGCGCCACCGTGCTGCCATTTTTTTTACAGATCTTATTGTTCCATATTTTCCTAACAGAGCACTTCGCTCGCAAACTGCAGGCTTACTTGTGGTTCCAAGAGTTTCCAAAGGCAGAATGGGAGGAAGATCTTTCAGTTATCAGGCTCCTCTCTTGTGGAACCAACTTCCAGACACATTGTCCAGTTTTAAGACTGGACTTAAGACTTTCCTTTTTGGTAAATCCTATAGCTAGGGTTGGCTTGTTATGCTGCTATAAGCTTAGACCACTGAAGGACAAGTTGACCTCATTTCCTTAAATGAACTTTTAAAATTCCATAGTTTTCATTTGATACTATTTCTATCTTAACATGCGATTCTTGGCTGCCATTTCTATATAAATAAACTGAATTGAATTAATTTAAGTAATGTACAAAAAGAACCCATCTTTAAAGAAAAAGTTTCTTCTGAGTGGACATCATTTATCACTGTGATATCTGTAAAATAAACCGAGTACACAGGATCCCTTTCAAATAAACGAGCGAATCGTAACTAGAAGAAACATGTCATAAACACAAACATAGCCTTTCTTCTTTAAAGCTTTCCTGTTTCCAAACATCCTTTGACGACTCCTCTCTCCTCTTCTCCTCCTATTTCAACAGCCTCTCATTTTTCCAGCTATTAATGACTCCTCTCCTCTCCTCCCTCTCACACAGTGTTCCTCTCTCTGTGGAAGCTAGCTTCCTTTGCTAATCCCTGCTCTGACAGCAGAGCCAAGTGTGTCTTATTGACTATAAATATAACATGAGACGCACTGAAAATAAATGCTGTTGCAAACCCCCACCCCCCCTCCAACCCTTCTCCGTGCTCCCTCCCCATCTCGTTCCTCTTCATCTTCATCCTAAATGCCACGGTGAAAAGCACAGCGCGCAGAGACGGATGACACTCAAAGGTATGAGGGTGAATTGAGTCTTATCACAACCGTATAGGCACAAGCGCCGCTACAAAATGATTTAAATGCACGGGCATTTTTTTTTTTCCCCAAAATGCTTGCGGGGGAGAGCTAAGCCTCCATTACCACAAAAGAATTTAAGAAAACAGATTGTGGCTTTGCTCATTAAGGTGGGGGCGAATTTCCATCTTTATATGCACAATTATAGAGCTCAGTGCCACACGACACAAAAAAGGCTTTTTTTATTCTTCGGAGGTGAATGCTATCATTATTCTTAATGGCTCTGTTCTGTAAGTGCCTCTGCAAGAAGTGCACAAAGACGTCTAGTCGAAATTAAACAACATCCATTTCATATCACAATCCAATATTCAAGAGAGCAATTCAATTTACAGCCATTTTACAAAGATTCAAATCAGCAACATAGGGGGGGGGGGGGGTGTACTCTTAGGAGCTGACAGTTAAATGTTAATCAGTCAGGTCACATGCAGCACATATTTGCCAAATCCATATTTTGCAACAGCTGCAGCCCCAACACAAACCCCCACACTGAAGTGGATCTTTATGGCTGGCTCGAGAAAACATGATGGCTGTATGAAGGGGCGGGACTGTGCGGTCCACACGCCAGCAGGGGGGGCTAGTCTGCTGCTCATTATGTTTTTGCATGAATGTATACTGGAGTGCTTCATTACAAAGTGAGGTAGGAGAGAGTGCAATACTCCCATCTCAAGCACAAGCAGGCCTTGAGGAGTGCTACATAAATTCACTGCCCTTTCACGAATACTTAACATTGAAACTTATCTCCAGTGCTTCTATAAAAGCTTCGGCATGGCATTTACAAGAAGCCTGCACTGTTAGGGGCAATCTGTGTGAATTAGAGAGAGAGAAAGAGCAGCGTCTTGCTTGAAAAGTGAGTGGCAGGTATAAGTGCATGTTTACCTCATAGGGAGACAGTAGGGGTTTGGAGAAGGCTGACCCCCAGTCGATGGAAAGGCGTGGGCAAGCGATCTGGACCCACCTGTAGGAAGAAGGAAAAGGCATTAGTTTGTGCTGAAATATACACCCAACCCTTTATCTGAGTAAAACTTGAAGCAACGAGTGAGGAAAAGACACTGCTCCTATTAAAAAGGCAAGGCGCATCTGCGGCTGCCCACTGCACGTGAATATGTGATGCGGCGGGTTGTGCGGGGAGCCTCCCTCCACCTGATCACAGGCATCTGCTGGAGGAGATCTGTGCTGATATGGACCGGCCCTAAAGACGGCGCCGTCTGAATGCAAAGCCAGCCAGTGGGGGGGGGGGGGGGGAAGTATAGGCTGAGATGGGAGGGATGAAGGTTAGTAGTGGTGTAGATTGTGGGAGGCATAAACCGAAAAACGTGAAAAGAGAAGAGAGGTGAGAAATAAAAAGGAGAAACGCTGTGAAGAAAAAGAGGGAGAGGTTAGGTGAGTGCGAATAAAAAAGCTGCGCCAGCTGGTCTCCACGGAGGTAGCCTACATAGTTCGCAGACAGGGGTGTGGGTATGAGGGGTGTGTGTGTTAGAGAGCTGGAGGAGGGATGGGCAAAATAAAAAGAAGAGGGAGAAGGACAGAGATATGCAGCAATAGGAAGAAAGAGCAAGAAAGACAAAAACAGGAAGAGGGGGTTGAAGGGGCACAAGCGAGAAGCGAAGATGGCGGGAGAGGATTGGCAGGGAGAAAAGTGTTTACTTTGGAAAATGCATGAGAGGAATGAGGAGAGTGTGGATGTAAACAGCTGCAGGGAAGAGTGAACAAGGGGAAAATGAAAACACAAAGTGGCTGCAGGTGCTAAGGTTAGCTTTCGCAGATCAATGCAATCCACAGCTCCATCTCTACTGAGGCGGTGCAACTTCCTCTGTCCCTAATCCTGATCATAAAGCTCTGCCTGAAATATAGACAAATATGGATTTAGCTGCAGTACATAAAATAATAATGCTCCATGTAGGTTAATGTCAATGAGAATGCAGCAGTTTGAGATGGGAGGAATAGAGGCAAAACATGAGCTGAAGTACAAATAATAAACCACTTAGGAACGTTGCCATATAACTGAGAGGATTTTTTTCAAGGGAACAGTCCTGCAGTTTGTTCTTTCTTCATTTTCAAACTTTTCCAGCAATTCAAGCTGCAGAATGGATCGCACCACTGACTCTTACTGCCCCGTGCTTCTGTCTCAGAAACATTCCAACCCCTCTGGGCAAACGCATGACATTTTCTCATTTTCAAAATGCTGATTTTTTTTATGTCTCCCTCTAGAGTGAATTTTTATTCATGCTTCTATCTTGAGGTTCAGTTCACTCATATATGTTAGTACCAAGCACTGATCTTTTAAGACTAAAGTTTGCTGAGTTAAATGAAAGAACAAAAACAACAACAACAAAAAAAACTGGAATCTGTGTGGTGACCTTTAAGTTGATATTCTGTAATAGGGGTGTCCAAACTTTTTCATATGTGGGTCAAAACTGTCAAGATGAAAGTACTCATGAGCCACAATACTTCGAATCAAAGATATTAAAACAAATGCACATATATTTTTTGTGGTTTTTAAAAATATTTTTAAAGGCTCAACAACAATGTGAACAATATTTTGGAGAAATGACAAAAATGTATTAATTTAGTGGAGGAGTTCTTAATCATGGTAGATGCAAAACATTAAAAGCCTCTTACTTGCAAGATTCCCATATATATACTGTATATACATATATATATATACATATATATATATATATATATATATA